ATCTTGGTTCTCCAATAAAATAAAATTTAAAAAAATAAAAACCTTTTAATTTTTGCCGCATCGTGGGGGAATTCTTTCTCCCTCTCATTGTGATTTCCGCCGATACTGTGCTGTAGATAATAGTCAAAGGCATATTGAACGTCCCATTCAGAAGGCTGCTGCGGTTTCTTTCTTCATAGGCATCACGACGGCTGCCGTTTGCGTCTACCCTGCCCGCGTGTGTGATGCCGTGAAAGCGCTGAAGGCTGCCGGCTGTACTATTCCCGTGGCATCAGGTAAAACTGGTGTGGCTTTTGTTGATGTCTTTCAACATGTTTCCAGTTCTTCGGCTCAGACATCTTGGGGGTATGACATATAGTTGTACACTATGCTTTTAATCAGTTTTATGTATTTGATCAGTTGTATTTATTCTTTTAGTATTTATTAATTGCCTTCCAAGTAGCAATTAACATTAACTAATTACGAATTCCTTTAATCAAAGGGAATTATATTCTCAAAAATATAGACCTGTATCCCTGTCCTTAAGGCAGCTTAGTTTTTTTGGAGGAATAATCAAATTTAAAAAATCATAATGCCAGATGTGTAGTATATGATACAAATGTAAATATGATAATAAAGTCATGCAGAAGGTAGTGGTAACTCTGAGCGGGAACTTACTTATTCTGTAGGGGTTGGTGACACTTGGAGAGTAAGGGAATGCTTCATAGAGACAAACAATGGCTGCACTGGGTCTGAAAGGGTAAGGGAGTTTCCAGTGTTGAGAACATAGGGAATGGCATTCAGACAGAAGAACGAGTGTGGGTGAAGGCAAAAGCATGTTCTGAGAACTGCAGGTGGCTTGCAGTTGTTGGATCCTAAGGGGGACAGAGTCGGAACGGTGGGAGTTGAAGCTGGAGATCTTAGGGGAGACCATGCCAGGCTGTGCCATTTGGGCTGTGTTCTGGTGATGGGGAAGGTACCGAAAGGTTTTAAGCAGAGGCAGACCACGATCCACTTCATGATGTCCTGAGTTAGGGCATGGTAGTGAACAAATGAGAAGGGGTGAGCTGGACTTAGGGAGACTATCCCTGTCCTTGTGGGCGATGATGAGAGACACCCCAAAGCCTAGAAGATAAGAGAGGGCATGTTCAAGAGTTACTGACTTAAGATAGACACGTAGGACATGGCGTAAGGGAAAGAAAAGTCTTTTTAAAAGCTTCAATATAGTGTGTGTGTGGGGGTATGTGTGTGTGTCTGCCTCTTACACATAGATAGATGGATTGGTGGGTGGATGGATGGACGTAAAATTAAAATTTACTTTTAAAAGATGTTGGAGAGCCTGGCCGGAGTGGCTCAGTGGTTGAGCATTGACCTATGAGGTCATTGGTTCAATTCCCGGTAAGGGCTCCATTACCAGTAGTAGGCGTGCAGGAGGCAACTGATTGGTGTTTCTCTCTCACTGATGTTTCTATCTTTTCATCTCTCTCCCTTCCTCTCGCTCTGAAATCAATAAAAACATATTAAAAAAGAAGATGTTGGAGGAATATCCTGGTGCTTTAAAAAAGTATCTATAAAGATTGTTAATTTATTGTATTCAAAATACATCAAAAGAAACGTTATGTACAGTATTTACATATAGCTCATTTGTGAAGATTCCCAGAGTATTTGGCATCTACACCTTTATTGATGTTAAATTCTCAGTGAATTCAGCGTTTCCTCTATACAACAGAGAAATGTGCCTTCCTCTAAGGGAGCAGACCCAAGGAATTTAACAACATCAAGATAACAGAAGGGATTATCTATAGCTCTCAGAATGAAATTAATGATGCATGTCAAAATGTTTAATACTTTTCCGAAACTGTAGTTGTGTTTTCATTTTCTTTATGTTTGGCCCTGCTCGTCCCAGCTCTGTCCCTGCCCCAGTTTTGTGGACTGATCAGGTGCTTTTTCTTCATTCTCTTTCCTTTATTCCTGCCTGCTTAGCTGGTTGTTTTAAGATAGGCATTGGGAGGAACCTACCTTACAGTTTGGTTACAATGGCTAAAAATGTGAATGGTCAATAAAAAAATACATTGAGGGCCCCCTGAGTGGGATGCGTAATTAGTGTCCTGATGTCAAGATAGGGATACAGCTCCTATTTTATGAGCATCAGTGTGATGACATTTTCTTAATTGCTATTTGCTCAGGGTACCCTCATGAGCATCTCTGAAGCGACTTGATCTCAGGTCTTCTAGCCGCGAGGATATAATGCTGATGTCTGTCCTAATGCCATTACTATATGAGATAATATTCTGTTTCTTCACACTTAACTTATCAGGATATTCATGAAGTTTTTAAGTGTCAAAAATGCTTTGGTCTTTAAATGCTGATTTATTTTGTCTGAAATTCTTTGTTGACCAAACGAAGTTCCTTCCTTTCTTTTCTTTTTTCCGTTCTCTACCAGTGGCCACCGGCTTTCCAGCTGGACAGACTCATTTAAAAACACGATTAGAAGAGGTCAGATTGGCTGTGGAAGATGGAGCTACGGAAATCGATGTGGTAATTAACAGGACCTTGGTGCTGACAGGCCAGTGGGAAGGTAGGTGCATGTCCTAACCTACAAGGGAGACACAGTTCTTCCCTGGTGGACGAAATGGTGGGGATCTGGTCAGGGACAGCATGTTTTGGAAATTATTGCTCCACATCACAAGTGATTAGATGGGAGGGTGAATCTAGGACAGTGGTTCTCAACCTTCCTAATGCCGCGACCCTTTAATACAGTTCCTCATGTTGTGGTGACCCCCAACCATAAATTATTTTCATTGCTACTTCATAACTGTAATTTTGCTACTGTTAATGAATTGTAATGTACATATCTGATACGCACTGTTACAAATTGAACATAATTAAAGCATAGTGATTAATCACAAAAACAATATGTAATTATATGTGTGTTTTCTGATGGTCTTAGGCGACCCCTATGAAAGGGTTTTTCGACCCCCAAAGGGGTTGCGATCCACAGGTTGAGAACCGCTGATCTAGGAGAAGCCATGGCTAAGATCACTTATCCTTGTGCCCCTGATAAATCCTGGAATTTGCCTACCTGCATGAGCTTTTTAGATCCTTCTAAGTGCTTAGGTGAATAGTTATTTCCATGCAGTAGATTATTAACTTTTATCCTATTCTATATTGTTTTGTTAATCAATGCAATAATCACTCCGGGCAAGTCTTTTATGCAAAGTGTATTTTAATATGATGGAGGAAATTTCCCTTTTTTATGTTAATCTTTGTGTATTTTTAGGATGTGGAATTATTAATGTCAGCTAAGTCTGTATTTACTTCTGTTCTTGACATAGCTCCTATGAATATTATTTCATATTCACCTTTGAGATTCATGATTTACTTTCACACTGATTACAATGGGATGTTGCCTATTCCAGTAACACACTAGACTAGAGGCCCAATGCACGAAATTTGTGCAAGAGTAGGCCTTCCTTCCTTCCTCCAGCTGCCAGCACTGGCTTCCCTCTGGCACCCGGGACCCGGCTTCCCTCACAGCCCTGGCTTCTTCCGGAAGGTCGTCTGGTCTAATTATCATATTATGCTTTTATTACTATAGATAGTAAAGAAATAGATTTTACCTCTCCAGGGCAGCTGTCTTTCCTGTGGCCTCTCAGTGATCAAACTGCTTCGATCTTGTGGCTCTTACCATCTTTAACATGAGGCCTCTTTAGAACATATGGCACTCACACCTCTCTTTAATGCTTTGGCAGGAATGGCACATGCCACTTCTGCCCACAGACACTTGATCAGAACACATGGCCTCGCCTACCTTGGAGAAATCTGGGAAGTGTAGTCTTCTGGGTACTAGGAAGGAAAGGAAAAACAAATATTGGTGTAAGTAATGTCTACTGTACTTCACACACCTGGCAATACTTCTGTTCTAGTGTCACATGGACATGAAAGTGTGTCCAGGTGTTGGAGTTTAGATTTGATTTTCTTTGAAATCTTGAAGTCATTTCTCCATTGTATTTCAGCTTCCTGTATTACTTTTAAGAAATCCACCACCATTGTGATTCCTTCTGTTTTTCTCTGGAAGTTTTTAGGATTTTTCTCTGTCCTTTGTATTGAGGCATTTTATAATGGTGTGGATCTTTTACTTTTTAATTTTTCATCATTAGGTTTTTGTACTAATTGCTGGAAGATTTTATCAACTTTACCTTCCAGTTATTTGATTGATTTAAAAAATTATCTCTAATTTTATATTTGCAATTTTACATTGTTTTTCTTGTTTACATATTATTCCCTTTTTATTGCATTCTCTCTATTTTGTGGCTGTAATACCTGTTAATTAATAAAAGTTTTTTTAAGTTTAAAAAAATAGTTGTAGATATAGAAGTATAGTTTATATTGTAACCTGTGCTTTTCTCTAGAATACTACTAATTGGAAAATAAAATACAGTAGGAGAGGGGTTTTGATGTAATTGGCAGTCCCTTAATGGACTAGGAATGGTTGTTTGTAAGAACTGGTAATTTCCCAATAACAGGCATTCATGCAAAATATAACAACACATTTTTGTCCTAGACCATATTTTTCTATTAACCCTTTTTTATGGTGTTAATAACCTCTTGACCCAAAACAAATGGAAAAGGAACATTTAATATTAGAAATGTAATTCTAAATAGAAATCAGCAATGACTTAGGACTTTTTCCATTGCAGTATTTTATCTTTCGGTTCTCAATTTGATTACATATTGTATTTTTTCAGTGTTATGTTTTAATATTAGCCATTTATTAAAATATGAGTCTAAAATTGATTTCTTGGAATTTGCTGATGGAGAGGTCTGTCGGGCTATTACACATTCAAATCTGGGTCCTTCTCTGTGTACTGAGGGTATGTAGGACCTGGTTTAAGAAAGAAAGGATCCGCCCTAACCGGTTTGGCTCAGTGGATAGAGCATCGGCCTGCGGACTCAAGGGGCCCAAGGTTTGATTCCGGTCAAGGGCATGTACCTCGGTTACGGGCATAACCCCAGTAGGAGGTGTGCAGGGGGCAGCTGATCGATGTTTCTCTCTCATCGATGTTTCTAACTCTCTATCCCTCTCCCTTCCTCTCTGTAAAAAAACAATAAAATATGTTGAAAGAAAGAAAGGACCCCTTTTTAAAAACCTGGCATTCAGAGTGCATCTCAAACATGTCTTTGGTCACAAAGATCTACAGTTTAGGATATGAATTCAAAGGGGAGATTGGAGGGGCCTCATATTCCTCCTCTTGGGTTCTCCATGGTGGTGATTCAAAATCTCTACTGTTCTCAGACTTTTAACTCTTCCCTCACCTGGAGGCTCCTTCACTCTTAGCTGACGACCTACCTGCTACCTCTCAGAGAAGAAAGAAAACATTAGACAGGAACTCCCTCAAGATCCTTGCATCAGATCTGCTTCCCTTTATACTTCCTCTCAATCCAACCCCTCTGTTATGCCCGGGCTTTCATTTCCTTCCACATTTTCGGAGGCCTCACTCCATTTATTGGCCTTTTCCCCTCTCCTGTTTCTTTAGCCTCCCTCTACTTGCTCATTCTCGTTAGCATCAGATGTATGTAAGCTTTTCTTATTCATTAAAAACCTTACATGCCACCTTTCCCCTGTGTCCCCAGCTAAATTTCCCTTCCTGCTCTCCCTCGATGGCTAAATTCTTGGTTCAGATGTCATTGTTACTCTTGAATCTGTTCTAGATACTAATGCCCTCTCATTTCACTGTGCCCAGGGGAAACCCTTCCTTCTCCTTAGCTTTACTGTTCAGCAGCAGGTGACACATGCTGGAAACACTCTATGGCCATGGTTCTGGTGACTGTACGTCCTTCAGGCATTCCTCCGTGATTCTCATTTCTCCTGCGTCTTGTTGACAAGCTCCTCTGCCTCCTCTGGCCTCCTGAGCGTCGGTGGTCCTGGGTCCTGCCCTAGCCAGCTCTGCGACCGCCCTCTGACGCAGCACACACGCTCTCTCTCCTCTCTTCTCTGACTTCAGCTACGTCCCCTGTGCCGAAGACTCCCACACCGTCTAAATGTCAGAGCCCGAGTCTTGCCTGCCTCCTGAACTCATGTTCCATTTCCCCACTAACCTCTGTTGCTTTGCATCCATCCTTTTCACATAAGCAGACATTCAGAAATCGGTGAATCTTGACCCAAACAGAGAATCTTGACATTTTTTGGGGAAAAATGCACATCTCTCCAGCTTAAACACTTTCTGTTAAACACAGTTTTATTTCAGCACCGTCGTGTCCATGCCTGTGTTACTCTGGGGCACAGTGATCCTCTCAGGGGCAGAGATGTCGGAGGGGACTTGCCCCACAGCTCCTGGGCCAGACTGCGGTGCTTTCTGCCTTCATATGTCTTCACATTGAAACACTGTTGGTGATGCTGCTCTGCCTGGCCCTTTGCTGTTAAGCTTGTTTTTTTTTTTTTTTTAATATATATTTTATTGGTTTTTTACAGAGAGGGAGAGGGATAGAGAGTTAGAAACATCGATGAGAGAGAAACATCGATCAGCTGCCTCCTGCACACCCCACCCCTACTGGGGATGTGCCTGCAACCAAGGTACATGCCCTTGACTGGAATCGAACCCGGGACCCCTCAGTCCGCAGGCCAACACTCTATCCACTGAGCCAAACCGGTCAGGGCTGCTGTTGAGCTTTTTGCTATGACATCCTGCTTCGCTCCTTACGGCGCACTGTCCTTCCCTGCCAGTGCTTCCCTCGATCCTTTCCTTTTGTCTGGGCACAGAGAGGTGCACCCCCTGGCATCGCTCGGGGCAGTAGTTTTAACTGCCGAGGGTGTGGGATGTATTGCTGGTCCTCCGAGTTACCTGGCAGACACTTTCTTTCTTTTTTTATTAGAACTTTCAATTTTATTTTTCAATTACAGTTTACATTCAATCTTATTTTGTATTAGTTTCAGGTGTTCAGCATAGTGGTTAGACCAGGGGTGGGCAAACTGTTTGAGTCGAGGGCCACAATAGGTTCTTAAACTGGACCGGAGGGCCAGAACAAAAGCATGGATGGAGTGTTTGTGTGAACTAATATAAATTCAAAGTAAACATCATTACATAACAGGGTACGGTCTTTTTTTTTTTTTTTTTTTTTTTAGTTTTATTCATTTCAAACTGGCAGGATCCAGCCCGCGGGCCGTAGTTTGCCCACGGCTGGGTTAGACAGTCTTATACTTTACAAAGTGTCCCCCCTCCCCCCGATATTTCTAGTACCCACCTGGCACCATGCATAGTTATTACAGTATCATTGACTATGTTCCCTATGCTGTACTTTATATCCCCGTGACTATTTCAAACTGCCAATTTGTAGTTCTTAATCCCTTCACCTTTTCCACCCAGCCCCCCAAACCCCTGCCCCTTGGACAACCATCAGTCTGTTCTCTGTGTCCTTATGATTGACAGACGTTTTCAGATGACTTGCCCCAGTACTTCTCCTCACAGAATCTTGTGCATCCCCCAACCCCCAGCTTGTGGTGGGGTGGGGTGGGGAGGGCTGTGCTGGCCTGTGGTAGAGGTGGGGGCACCCAGCCGACCAGCCAGGTAGGCCAGGCAT